CTGCTGCCCCCCTCACCCAACTGTCCGACATGTTAAAACCATACACACAACTCTTGCTGAAATTAATCCTCAACCCCGACATCAACTCAAACCACCTCAGAATAGCTTTTACCGTAAGAATATTTTCTTTGCTTGCCTCACCCAAGATAACTGTGTCATCCGCAAATTGTAACAAAGATACCGCCAACCCCCTCCTACCCACCTTTATCCCTTGGAACATGCCTTCATTTTCTGCTTTTTTAACCAATCCATTCAATGCCTCTACAACCATCAGAAATAAAAAAGGAGACAAAGGGTCTCCTTGCCTGAGTCCTTTCCCCATTTCAAACTCCTTGGTCAGACTACCGTTTACCAATATCGATACCCTAGCCATAGACAAACACTCCATAATCCACCCCCTCCATTTATCACCAAAACCAAACGCTCCCAGCATCCAGTCCAAAAACGACCAATTAACACAATCATAAGCTTTTTGAAAATCAGCCTTAAAAACAAAAGCTGGATTCTTCCTCTTGCGAACCTTGTCCACAACTTCATTTAGCACCACAACACTATCAACCAATTGTCTTCCTCCTACAAAAGCCGATTGCGTTTCGCTAATAATCCCCGGCATCACCTCCTTAAGCCTATTAGCTAACACCTTCGCTAGCAACTTATACATACATCCAATCAAACTAATAGGCCTAAAGTCTTTTAGTTCCTTAGGGCTCAGTTTCTTCGGAATTAATGTAAAGAAGGAAGAATTCAAACCCCTCACTAACCTGCTGTTTTGATGGAAATCCCGAAAAAAAGCAATAAAGTCTTCTCTGACACTACTCCAGATGAACTTAATGAGATTAAAGTTATACCCATCAGGTCTCGGAGCTTTACTTCCTTCACAGCTCTTCAAGCCTTCTTCAATCTTCTCCTCCGTGAAAGGCCTTTCAAGCCACTCCTTCTGATCTTCAGATATTCTCCAAAAAACCAGATTTGAAGGTTTGGGACGGTTCCAACCTTCTTCTTGAAACATCTTGTGGAAGTATCTCACCATTTCAACCTTCACCATCTCCGGGTCCTCTACCCACTGTCCATTAGACCATAATCCCGAGATACCGTTTTGCGCCTTCCTCCCGTTTGCAATTTTGTGAAAGAATCTCGTGTTCTGATCCCCCAATTTTGCCCAATCACTTCTAGATTTTTGCTTCCAAATCGCCTCCCTTTTCCACAAAATATCCCATAGCTGCTGGAAACCTTCCTTTCTTATATCCACCTCCTCCTCCGCCAATTCCTCCACTTCGTTCTTCAAATCAATCTATTCTACCCTTCTAACCACATGTTGAAACTGTACCTCCACATTTCCGAACACCTCCTTATTCCATTCTTTTAAAAATTCCTTCAACCTCTTAAGCTTCTGTTTACATCTATATCCCGCATATCCTTCCTCATCAAGCTCCTTCCATTTATCTTCAATCGCCTTTTTGAATTGCGGGTGCTGTTGCCAAGCATCCAAAACACGAAACGGTTTTGGTCCCCAATCAGCTACTGTTGTCTTGACCATAATAGGACAATGATCAGACACCGTCCTCTTCAGTCCAAGTTGCACCCATCCCTTTCCCGAACTGTACATCTCGCCAGACAATAGGACTCTATCCAAACGACTCATAGAAGACCCATCTGGTCGATACCATGTAAACCGTCTATTTGCCAATTGCAGATCTACCATCCCAGATGACACAACAAAATCATCAAACTCCCTCATATCCTGAGTCTCCCCTATCCTACCCTTCCGCTCATTGGAATTCCTAACTGCATTAAAATCCCCTGCCATCATCCATCTCCCCTCCTCTTCCATTATCATTTGCCGAAGTTCATTCCACATTCTCATTTTCTTTTGCTTGTCATTGGAAGCATAAACATTCACAAAACTGCACTTCAACTTCTTTGGTCCCCATTCTCCTTTAATCCTCACAAACCCATCACCCGAGAATACCCCATGTTTAACAAACTCAAAACGATTCCATATACACAATAAACCCCCAGAGGCACCACACGATTCCTTCATTACCCAATCAAAATCATCTAAAAACCACAACATTTTACACAGAGCATCCTCCACCATTTCTAATTTTGTCTCCTGAATAAATAAAAAATCTGGTCGTTCTGCTCTAACCAATTTACTCACCTCCCTTCTTTTAACTACACTTCCTAACCCCCTCACATTAAATGAGATTAACTTCATAAAACAATATCACCATGCACCCCTCCCCCAAACGACTGCTCCTACCCTTACTTCACCTTCCCTTGCTCACAATCCCGGATCTCCAGATCTAATAGCCTCGACTGTACCTCCTCTTCATTATCCTGCCATTGAATACCCAATCTTTTCCCAACACCAAATATCCTCCTTACCTCTTGTAGGTTTAGCTCTCTTTTGATCACATGGTTTCGATTGACTATACACCCATCAGACAACGAAGAGCAGCCAGCACCCTGCTCCAGTGTCACCTTCTGCTGCTGCTGTGTCACCGGCTGCTGCATCTGCGTCACCAGCTGCTGCAACTGCGTCACCGGCCGCTGCTGCTGCGTCACCGTCTGTTGCTGTTGCGTCACCGTCTGCTGCTTCTACGTCACCGGCAGCTGCTGCTGCGTCACCGACTGCTGCTGCACTCTGTGAGATCTCAGCGAAACTCTTCCTTTACACCCCAGGGATCCCACTGCAAAATTGGACGCCTGCATTTGTGGATAACAATCCTTGACATTTCTCCTCTTTTTCTCTCTCGAATCCCTAATACCCAAATTAACCATCTTATTCATTTCCCCATCCGATGCACCATTCGGATCTCCTGTCTTACCCGCCTCTAAATTGGCCCCCAATCCACCTAATGCCTGCCTTTTGGATTCACACACAACTGGCCCAGCCCCTACTTTCAGCCCACACATAGAGTCCAGCCTCACACCCGATTCCATAAGAGGCCCAGTTTCTTCCTCCCTGTCCCATTTCTTGGCTGCCGTTACTTCTTCAACATTAAAATTCAAAATTCCCTTCTCCTGCATTAACTCATCTTCAATATCAGCATCATCATCGCCACGGATCACGGAGGCCATCACTTCCGAATCCTCCTTTCCATCATCCGACGAGGAATATTCCAATCCCGATGAAGCCTCACCGTTTCGATCCTCATCCGCCAACCACCAGTCCGGGTCGGCTCACCACGCTTCTTCCATTACCGTGATTTCATACATCTTCTCCGCCACCTTCAGCTTTATGGTCTTTGAAACTTTATGCTTTTCAGCACACAAGACTAAAACTCTGCCATCACACAATATGGCTTTGGATTTGGTATCTGCATGAAGCATTACCACTTCCCCCACCGTATCTGCTATCCATTCAAAACATCTGTCAGACCATGCTCTCAGAGGAACACCAGAGATTCTCAACCAGACCATTCTACAATTATTCAAAGGAGCCATATCCCAGGGATAGATAACCTCACACCAAACTGCAAATGATTCCGAGTTATGCTGAATATACTCACTCAAATAGCCTTCCACACGTTCAGTCAACAATACACTCCTCCCTCCTAATGGAGATAAATTAATCAAACCTCCATCAATGTCTATTCTCTCTTGAATGTTGGAAATCATTGACATCGATCTCACTACTGCTACAACACTCCCTTCCAACCACTTATTCTCCTCTTTGGATGGCGAAAAATCAATGATCCTCTCTGTCGACTGTCCAACCATAGCTCCACCTACCTTTTCATCGGATCTAACAGCCTCGAGTTCCAAAGGCTTCCCAATAGCAATGGATGCCCTATCCACGGGATCCTCTCTCTCCTGCACCCCTACTGTTTTCCTCCAGACCTGGGCTCCCACTAATCTCGCAGAGGATTCCTTAACCGCCTGCACATAAGTCCTCCCTGGTTTGACGAAACTCTGCTCCCTGATCCTACCCGTCCTCTCGGCTGTCTTCTGATATCCTCTTCCATTTTGCCCCCTGTTGATGGCTACCTTTACCCGAAGCTTATAAGAACCAATCCAGATCTGATTCATTCTCCCTTCCAATTGTTGAACGTCCTGCACCCCTATCATTCTGACGAACCCAAACCTTTTTCCCCATTTGTCCCTCTTTGCCAGTACAAACCCATCTTCGACCCTTCCGCACTCTTGAAACCGATTCCACAAAGCCTTTGCGTCCCAATCTTCCGGGAAATTATAAAAGAAGAACGACTGTCCCTGCCTCGAATTCCCAGACTCCCTATTCCACCGGTGCTGCCTTTGCTGCCGTCTGGAGTTGCCGCCGTCCCAAGTCCTGACGTCTCGCGCTCTAAACCTAGACCTCGCCATCCAAAAAAAAAATAGTGGATCCTTCAACAGTGACCAGTGAGGTCAGAAGAACTTAGCTTCACCATCACCCTCAACCAAACTAGAAATTAATGATTCTTCTTGAAAATCCATGGGTTCCCTAAGAAAACCTAGATCTAGATTCTTTTTGAGATCCCACAGATTCTCTTAGAGAATCTAAATTTGGGTTCTCCTTCAACAGATCAAGGAGGGAGGAAGAGAAGGAAGAAGAGGGGAGAAGAGGCAAAGAAGGAAAAGAAAAAGAAAGAAAGAGGGAAAAGAATGAAGAAAGTTGAAAATCAAAGAACCAATGCTACGTGAAGAAGAGGGCTACCTAGATCTACTTGGTGGAGAACTCACGAAAGGAGATGTGGGAGGAGACGGATGGAGAAATGGTGACGAAGAAAGAGAGAAAGCGGGGAGATGAGGAAAATGAATGGAATGTAAAGAAATTTAAAGGTTGAGGATTGCATTCAATAGGCTTATTATGAATAAGCAAGGATAAATCTTTAACAAAAAATTATTGTATTTTAATCTTTAAACCATAGATGTGTGAGGGAGGGTGTTGGTTTAGTGGGTAAGTATATCATTTCCCCTAACGATTAATCCTTGTCTTAATGAATATTTTTTTTAATCAACCCCTGCCTTAATGGATTAATATTGGAAATATTAAGAAACCAAATAATCCTATCTTGTCTTACTCATGAGTGCCCTATAAGATAGGTCTCACACAAGGATCGTGATGGGGTTCTTAGAACCCAAATCGTGGGTTCTCTTCCCTATACATACACTAAGGAAGGCAGGAGGGGCAAGGAATAAGGAATGGAAAAGGGGAGAAGATAAAGGAGGGAGATAGAAGGGGGAACCATCAATGGACGTGCGATGGTGGTGGTAAGGCTAGGTTCCTCATGCGATTATAGCGACGAAGCTGGGTTCTTCACACGATAGTGGTGGCAAGGTTAGGTTCCTCAAAAGATAACGGTAGTGAGGCTAGTTTCATTGCATGGTGTTGTAGCTCAGGGGAGAATCTAAATTTCACAGTATTCAGTTGGAGGAAAGAGAGAGGGAATAATTATGAGAGAAAAGGATTAGAGTTAAATATGGAAGGTTAAGGGTAAGTTTGAAATTTCAATTTTATAATTTTTTAATATAAATGGGTGCTTAAAATTCCATATCATATTTAATATTTTAAGAAAATTGCTACATCATCATCATCTTTTATCACTTGGATTTTCAATAGTATTTACGTTAAAAATAAAAAGAAAGAAAAGAGATTTTTTATCGATTAAGCACACCGTAAGAAACTTAATGGAGGGACCAAAAAGGAAAAAAAAATAATTTTGAGGGATAAAATGACAATTTTATCGGTTAAGGTATTAAGAAGGAGCTCCTTGGGGACAAAGAGGTAATGGGGTGTTTGGTTTGGAATTTCTTAAACAAATATCAGTTTTAGTTATATCTAAATAGTTAATTTAAATACTTAATTAAATTTTTTTTAGTTAAAGGTAATATTTTCGAGCAATAAATTATTGCAATTATGGAACGCAGTTTTCTAAATTTTGAATATAATTGCAGTACTCTCTTTTTTTTTTTTTGTCTTATTACAGTTATCTTCTTTCCGCTGTTTTTACTATTTTCAATGCCTCTACTGATCTATGGTAAGCAACAACGTGCACAATGAACCTTTCTTTCTCTCTCTAATTTTTTTTCCTTCATTTTGGTGCTATATCTTGATTATTCTTCGTAGAAATAAAACAAATATAAGGTTGTTTTTTTTTTTTTTTTGGTTATTGTCAGTAATTCAAAAATATAAGCTGAAGTTGATGGATGAGTATGCCCTTGAGGTTATACGTTCCATATGTGGATCATTATCAAACTTAGATGAGAACCAATTTGAGCAAAGTCGAGCAGTGGAAGCAATCTATCGGGCTATCGAGAATGACATCCCTGAGATTGTAATTGAATTATTAAAAGGACGTAATGGTAAGATATCATGGATTAATACAGATCCCGAAGATTCAAGAAACATGTTTGCACATGCTGTAGCACACCGTCAAGAGAAAGTCGCACGCTTTCTTTATGATGAATTTGGCAAATGCAAGAATACAAATATGGTTACTGCCATCGATGAAGATGGAAACAATATATTACATGTAGCTTCACAATTAGCTCCTCATTCTCAACTAGATCGCATCTCTGGTGCAGCTTTACAATTACAAAGTGAACTACACTGGTTCAAGGTAATCTCATTCTTTAACTTTCTTTGTTATTTCAAATTAATTAATAATGTCTCAATAATATGATATCTATAATTTATGAAACAAATGCAGTCGGTGGAAGGCATTGTTCCACGGTTCTACAATATGAAAAATAAAGATGATGAAACTCCAACCCAAGTATTTCTAAAAGAACACAAGAATTTGCTAAAAGAAGCCGAAGGATGGATGAAAAAAGTGGCAGAATCTTGTACAGTTGTAGGTGCTCTTGTTATTACCATTATGTTTGCTGCGGCTTTTGCTGTTCCTGGTGGAAACAATCAAGATACAGGCTTCCCCATTATTTTGAACAAAAAGATCACCCATCCTTCTAAAGACATATCGTTTCAAGCAGCGTTCAAAGTATTTGCAGTTTCAGATGCAATTTCTCTTCTCGCTGCATCCAGTTCAGTGCTAATATTTTTGGGGATTCTCACTTCTCGTTATGCTTGTCAAGATTTCTATATATCCTTACCAAACAAGTTGATTATTGGCCTTTCTTTGCTCTTCATCTCTATTGCGGCAATGATGGTGGCATATGGCGCTACACTTTTCATTATGCTACATGGTGAAAAGGAGATTCATATTTTAATCTCACTGACATTGATGGCCGGTATTCCTGTCATTCTGTTTTTATTGCTGCAATCTCCTCTTCTTATTGAGATTTATTGCTCAACTTTTCGCCCAGACATCTTTAATAGGAGAAGATACAGGAAATACGGAATGAATATATGCTCATGTTTCAATAGGAGATGGTGGTTCAGAAAGAGGAGAGGATGGATGGCAGTGACTTTGTGTGCTCTTGCTTCGCTTTATTTTATTATTTCATTTTGTGTAGTGTATCTTATAGATTATACTGTTTTGTAAGTCATATATGTTTTATTTGATTATATTTTGTATAAACTTTTTTTCATAACAACTTTTATAAAAATGCACCTTAGTCTTGCGATCCAACTACTATAAACTATTTAGTGGGTTGGGATTCAAACTCTTGACTCTGCAATTGTAAATCTGTTTAAAAAAAAAAAACTTTTATAAAAATGTAAATTTATTATAATTAATTAATATTTTGTATTTGGCTAAAAAATTAATATAGTTTTACTTATTTTGGTTAATATTTTATATATTTTAAAGATATTAAAACACCAA